ACTTTAACCGATATGCAGACTACCACACACACGAGATGTACCCCGAGTAGACCTACGTTACTAGAATCTGATTCCATGCATACATCATTATTTCTATAGTTGGTCACTGCACTCTCGAGCACATGAGTCTTGTGTACTTATGCACTCGCGAATTTGAGCGCTATACGCACTTTTGCGCTGATACGCTCGCGGGCTTTCGCGCTCAGCGCGTTTTCGAACTCAGAAAGCGAACTCACCGCACTCACCGCACTCAGGAACTCGCGGCGATTTTGAGTGCCGTGAGTTCATTTGAGTTCGGTTGAGTTCGGTTGAGTCCGCTCGCCGAAGTGCTGATGGATTCGCGTTTCGGTTGTAGATGCATGGCACGGATTGATACCCTCTGCGAAAACACGATTTCCTATCAACTGGTTTGGATGTGGGAAGGATCAGTACGATGCCAGCTTTGAGGTTGGGATCTACGGGTATACATATTGGTCCGGTGAGGGGTTCTCCGGCGAAGTTCGCTTGTGCGCGTAGCGAAAGCACATGTATCTTAGTCGGCTTGGGAAACGTACGATGTTGCTGTATAGCATACGGCGTCAAGCAGCTCTTCGAATAGGCTCGTGTATTTTTTACCCAACAATAAGATGGTCGTGGTCCTGGGCAAGGGTCAAGCAAGGTCGAGCCACAGTAGCGCCAGATTTGATCATCATGGATCACGGCCTCCGCGGTTCGCGCGGACCCTTCTTTCACCGCAACCCTCACCTTCAACCACCTGTCCCCTCTCTGCGAGCTTGTACGCCATGGCTCCTGTTGAGACGGAGTTCTACGATCTTGTACGTCCATGTCGCATAAAGTGCTCGTGTGCGCATATAATGTTCGGTGTACTGACTGTCTTGATAGCTGGGCGTGCCCGTCGATGTCAATGACACGGACTTGAAGAAGGCCTATCGCAAGGCTGCAATGAAGGTACTATACCTATAATCCCTGCTAACACGATATACTCATCAATACTAGTATCACCCTGATAAGAACCCCTCGCCAGACGCCGAGGAGAAGTTCAAGGATATGAGGTTCGTGGTTCATCGGTGGTTCGTTTTCTTGTTTAGCGTTCTGATATGCTATGCAGTAAAGCATACCAAGTCCTATCAGACCCTGTGCGTACTACTAAACATTGCCAACTTGCCCGGATATCTTATATGGGTATTTGAACGACAGAATCTGCGCGCTGTTTATGACAAGAATGGGGCGAAGATGGTGCGTCATAGCTGTGCATCTACTAATCACTCCTGACTTTTATCTCCGTAGACCGAGAGTGAAGGCGCAGTAAACGTTGAGGACGCTGCCGGCTTCTTTGCCAATGTATTTGGTGGCGAGCGCTTCATGGACTACGTACGTTTTACTCTCCTATCGGCCCCAGCAATTGTCATACTCAAATGTATGGATAGATCGGCGAGATCTCATTAATGAAGGAGATGACAAGTGTCGCCACGACTATGATGACGGAGGAGGAGAAGGCAGAGCTGGAAAAGGAGATGAACGGCGGCGTGACCCCTCCCGCGGACGAGACGTCCAAGGTGCAGCCCTCTACATCCGCAGCAGACGCGACTGCACCTCCAGCATCGGGCAGCCCGCCGCCAGCTCCTGTATTTGGTACGACGCCGCCGGGCGCTGCTGAGCCTGCGACCGCTACTCCTGCGGGCACTGCACCGGCCAGTTCTGCCGCAAGTACGGCCGCCGCTCCGGAACGTCCAGAATCGCATCATGCCGCCTCATCAGATATGGTCGCACACGCTGGTACGGAGTCCGGAACCGCTACACCAACATCGAAGGAAGAGAAGAGGCAGTCCACGCACGCAAAGACGAAGCGGCCGAAGATGACGCCTGAGCAGCGGGCGAAACTGGAGGAGCATGAGCGTGAACGTAAGGAAGCGATGGAGAAGCGGATCAAGATGTTGACGACGAAGCTGGTCGACCGGTTAAGACCGTTCGTGGAGGCAAAGAACCCGGGCGCGGAAGGCGATCCGGAGACGAAGGCGTTTGAGAACAGGATGAAGTTGGAGGCGGATGATTTGAAGCTAGAGAGCTTTGGTGTCGAGGTATGTGAAATTGGTATTCCACTTGACATCCGGCTGAGGGAACATTCCAGCTTCTGCATACGATTGGTAGCGTATATATCCAGAAGGCGACCACCTTCCTCAAATCGCAGAAGTTCCTCGGCATACCTGGATTCTGGTCGAAGATCAAGGAGAAGGGTTCTGTTGCGAAGGAGGCTTGGGGTGTCATCGGCAGTGCTTTGAGCGTTCAGCAGGTCATGCAGGATATGGAGCGGTTAGCCAGCAAAGGCGAGGTCGACGAGGAGGAGTTGAAGGCGATGGAACTCGATATGACTGGCAAGATCATGCTCGCGTCATGGCGAGGGACAAGATTCGAGGTCGTGCAGGTGTTACGAGAAGTAAGTACTCTCAACCGCCAGACTGCGTTCAATATCTTACCGGGTGTATAGGTCGTCGATAACGTGCTTAAGGAGCACGGCGTATCGCAACAGGTGCTCCAGAACCGTGCCAAGGGCTTGTTGCTGCTTGGCGCTGTGTTTAAGAGCACAGTACCGGACGAATCCGACGAGGAGCGTCGTGAGCTCGAGCGGTACGTTCTGGATACATCAAGTCCTTAGTTGCTGTATTGACGGTTGTGAATAGGATGGTTGCCGAGGCCGCAAAGCCCAAACGCAAGGCAGCGAAGGCTCGTCACTCTGACGGCCATAAGACCCCCGTCGGACGACCCTCATCGCCACCAGCGCCGGCAACGGCAACGAACGCATAGACCCTCAATCAAACCCATTTTCTCGCTCTAATCGTCGGACAGTCCTGCTTTTGGTTTACTACTGCCCTAGATCGTCGTCTCGTTCATCACACTACCTTACTGCTTTGAATTGCGTCTACGGACTCGCTATGACCTTAGTACTACTTGCTGCACAGATGGAATGCGTATTTGGAGGGTGATCACGATTGTCTGGTATACGTGCACATAGGTATGCTAGGTACCGATCACGCTGATCGTGACTGCGACAAGAGCGCCTTCTGAGGCGCTACTTCGCGCTCGAACTCTTCCTTCACCTGCGAAAGTTTCCGTTAGCGTCCTTGCAGCATCAGTTCAAATTGATCGGCGTTACCTGTGCATAGAACTCATCGTCCTCGAGCACTCGGAATCCGGTGTGCGCGAGCGCTTTCGTCACGAGCATCATCGCTTTGTGCGCTTCGGGCTGTCCCGCGGCAGTCGCGAAGTTGGCAGTATGATTACCGCTGGTCTCGTCCGGAGTTGGGATACCTGTGATGGCATTTGTGGTAAGCGCCTGACGACAATGCTAAGATTGAGCTACACTCACTGAAGCCTGGATGAAGAGCGGGGAGCTCGTATGTGACATTGCCCTATCATGTTGTCAGCAAAGCGGTCCTCATCGGTTCTTGTAGCACTCACGAAGTCAGTAGACGCGCTGGTGCCCTCATCGAAGCCAGCGGGGATTCCATAGCGTGCGTTCGCTGCTAGAAGATATTCTCTCCCAAGTACCTTGTTGTTACGCAGGTCCAGGTACGGATCATCGAGCGTGATCGTGTAGTCACATCCCGTCGCAAGAGCTCCGGCTCTGAGAGAGGCGATGGGTCAGTAGAAATATTCCTCTGAGGCATCATCCGTACTGACTTAACACAGTTGATCATGCGATCTCTCAAGTCTTGTACTTCGGCCCATGTTGGTGCTCGCGCTCTCCACTGCATCTTCGCGTAATCAGGGATGATATTCGCCGCCCAGTTCCTGCCGAAGAGCGTGCCGTGTAGTCGACAGTGTGGGTGCACTTGTTGGCGCAAAGCTGAGATGGACGTGTATGCGATGACGGCTGCATCCAATGCGTTGATGCCGGCCCAAGGTTGCGCTCCTGCGTGCGCATTACGGCCGGTGTACTCAACTTCGAAGGACTGGAGCGCGAGAGAAGAGCCGACATTTGTTGAGCGCGGTCCGGCGCCGGGATGACACCTAAGATTAGATAGCGTCTTCAGTCAGTATCAGTGTAAACGTCATCTGTTGAGAGCGCGTACATGATGCAAGCATCCATGTCCTTGTATGCACCTCGCTCTATGAGTATGCCCTTCCCACACCCCGCCTCTTCAGCCGGAGTACCGAGCAAAACGACCTTTCCCGGTATGCCATGACCGACGAGCGCAGCCTTGATGGCGACGGCGATTCCGGCGCCTGCGGCCGCGATGAGATTGTGGCCACACGCATGTCCGATCCCAGGCAGAGCGTCCATCTCAGAGTTGACACCGAGCGTTCTCCCGCCCTTCCCGTGCTGGAACTCGGCGCGGAACGCCGTAGGAAGGCCAAGGTACGCTTTGGTGACCTTGAACCCATTCGCGGACATAAAGCTCGCAAGCGCAGCGGACGCGTGTCTGTGTGTCCAGAAGTTCTATGTAAGTCAACTGTAAAGGCAGTCTTTGGAGAAGACGGACGCACGTCTCTTCGAATGCCAACTCGGGATCATCTGGGAAGCCGTCTGAGCAGGTGATGGGGTGCGGAGAAGGTAGGTCACACGTACCGTGGATAGACATGCTCAAGCTATGTAAAGCAGGTTCGAGCTTGTCCAGTTCGGACTCGATTGTCGCTAGCACATCGGGGTTGTAGCTCAGCCGTAACCAGTCCGCTATTCCAGAGCCGTCGGCGGGTGGATAGCTGCTAATTTTGACATCGCGGCTCCAGTCACAGCAGGTGTCCGCAACTTGGTCGTAGGCTGGCTGTTGAGTGGAAATGAAAGAAAGGTAGGCTTGTCAGGGGGATGAGATGTGGAGCGTGGACACGAGGCTCACAGGAAGTTCCTTGTCCTTGTGAGAATGTGAGTGTGTCGCCGGTGCTGCGGGAGGCACAGTAGCCGTCTGGGAGTTCTGGCGAGCTGCTCGCGGACGCAGACTCTGAAGAAGACCAGTGAAGCATCCAGGGGTGTTCGTTTCTTTCTGCATCTTGTGGGATAGACAACAGAAATGCGTGTGCAAAACCCAGTCAACTGAACTGCGCAGGTACTTATCGACGCCCAAGAGTGCGTAAAGCCGGAAGAGGTTTCTGCAAAGGACTGCAGGTGACTTTATATGCGCCCGCAGAGGCCGTAAAGCCCACATTGCACATCATATTTTCAGCTGGATCCGCTACTCCGTTGTCGTCGGAGTTTCCACCGAGAAAATCCCCGGCTTGAGTGAGAGATAGGAAGCGCTCATCCCGGTCAGGTGTAATAGACCGTGACAAGGTGGTCCGCCTATACTCCATGTCGCAGTACTGCAAGATGAAAGAGGCAGCATACATGGCTAATCGACACGTCTTCTCGAGTGGGATCATCAGCAATGCGGTACAGGCTGCAGGGGCGGCTGTGCAAGAGGACTTGCATTCGAAGTCCACGCTCGTCGACGCTGTGGGGGAAGGCACACCGAGCCAGTCTTATCTTCAAAGAGGGACCAATCCTGATAAGCAGCCACAGATCGCGCGCAGCTCGGGCTGGGCCATACTGTACCTCAAAGCAGACGACAGTAGCGCATTGTGGAAGTGGATGTTTGAGGTACGACCGGCAGGTAACGCAGAGCGTATGAAGTCTTTGATAGGTGGACTCAGAGACGGACTGGCTCACGCCGCGCCGGGGACCATGACGGAGGAAGACAAGTTGCAGGGTTCCGCGACGCTCCTCGCGTGCGCGGGACCGCGGGGTTCTCCGTGGCAACAGGCGGATGTGGCACAACATGACGACCTCACCGGTGACGGTGATCGTCCAAGCTTTGAGGGTATTTCGGCGATAGCAGCTTTGACGAGATACCTCTACCTTTCCACATTGATTCTCCGAGAACGCGACTTTGACGGCGCCGTACGCCAGTAGGCAACTACAGTTCCTAAGACGGTTCCGGCATCCGCGTCGTTGTTCCGGCGCGAGCTCTGAGCTCAACTCCCTCAGAGTATGATGATCTGCTCAACAGTTTGCCTTCTCCCTTCACGTTCTGACGTTCGTTACTGGTGTAACTGCCAAAGCTTGAGATCTTCACCTTATCTCGTACGGGCTGTGTGCTCGTAACGTGGATCGTCCTTCCACGCTGTCGATAATTCGCATCACTAACGATGATCTCCCGCGCAGCTTGGCTGACCCTGCGATGGCTGATCATTCGAATATACACCAAGTGCGGCTTGAATTGTACGGACTTGACCACTGCGTGCTTACAAGATGCTCGGTCTCTCGCATCATCGCACGTTACGGTCTTCTAACGGCGCATCTCGTTTGATTATCAGCTACCAAACAAACCTTGACCATGATGTTTGAGCTCATCGCTTCCGAAGATTGCACGAGCAAGCTGGTCCCGCTCCAGCACCAGAATACCTCAATGACGTTGGGTGTATGTAGCTATACCGTCCGCCGCTGGCGCAATATTTCTTCGAATTTGTCCGGTCACCTCATCGCGACGTGCGGCGCCGGCGGCCTCAACCGAGGCACGGTGAGCGGAGATCAATCTAATCGCGGCTGGTCTGGACCCGCATATCAGCCGCTGATCGTCTCATGTCAGCTGTCCGCCGGACGTGCGCTCGTCGCACGACTGCAACGTCCCGAGATCGTCGGCGGCGGCGTTGACATCGGCGAGGAAGTCGCTCCCTCAGCAAGCGCCGCGGGTAGAGCCTCCGCTGCGGGGCCCAAGCTTCGCGTCTTCCTCTTGCGTGTGCGCTGCAACTCTATCTGCGCCAAATATCGTCATAAGGCGGAAAGGTCGCGGAAGAAAGGGAGTTGTTCTCGGGATCGAGGCTGATCTGGGATATCAGCGTGCGTGGACCGGGCGTGGCCAGCTGTCCATCAGGCCGAGGCGCGGAGAATCGGGGGCACTATCTTATCTTCGCCGGGATTGTACGCGTTTCAGGCAAGCTTGGATGAAACCTAAGCACAGAGTGGGAGGCCGCGGGCTCGAAATATGTATAGGCCGCGGTGGGACTGCTCAAGTGAGCAGACGAGAAGGGATGGGATACAGAGTCTGTACGGCGCAGCTCGGTGAGGGCCGAAGAGAACCACTCCCGCCGAGAGGATGGCTCAGGGGCTTCGCGTTGTGATCTAAAACACGCGGTGGGATTGGTCGGGGCCATCTCGAGGCTGATGATGCCGCGCGAGTTTATATCTCGCGACCACCCAAGCCGGACGCTCGCGCTTCGCATCTCTCCCTCGTACCAACTCGTTGCCTGTCCGTCGCAATGTCCTCCCTGGTTCTTGAACCGCCAATCATGAGCATGCATCGCCCGGGCGGGCCGCTCGCTCATACGAATCCCGTCACCGATCCTGGTGTGAACTCCAGGACTGCACCGCCTACCCCGCGTTCTGCCACGCCTGCACAACGCCAGCTCGAGGAGGCTCGCCAGGCCGCACCAACGCCCTTGCCAGGTCCCGGCACTCCTACTTTCAGCGGGAGTGCATCACCCGGTCCGGCAGTCGTCGGTGGCCAAGTATGCACCAACTGTGGTGCAACGAAGACCCCGCTCTGGCGTCGCGATACCGACGGCAGGCCATTGTGCAATGCCTGTGGTGAGTGCGGCATCTCTATATCTAATCACAACTCCGCGGGAGATCGCTGGCGGCCAACTGTCGAACCCTATGCTTCGCTGGCATCCCTTGAATGGTGGCTCGCCTCGACCACGTGCTTTCATAGTAGCGCTCGTTGAATCGGCGATTGCAACGCGGCTGCACGCGCCCTGTGGCCCATTGCGAGTGAGGCCTTCTGGCGCTTCTTGTGGCGCATATCATGCGTTCGACGCTGGAAGTCTTCACTGCATCATCTCTCCTTATCCTCGTGTCTAATCCGATGGCGACTCGTTATGCTTACCCTCCCTCGTCTTTGCGCGATCTTGTAGGCCTCTATCAGAAGAACAGGAATACATCACGCCCAACAACACTTAGCCGTCGCGGCTCGATGCAGCCCGTCAACGGTGCCACTTCCTCAGCACCCGCCTCGCCCAAGCTGCCCTCGTCACCACTAACGAAGGTCCATCATTCGAACGGCACATGTCCTGGCGACGGACGTTGCGACGGCACAGGCGGATCCTCAGCCTGCAACGGGTGCCCCACGTTCAACAACTCGAACAATCACGCCGAGGCACCGCAGCTGAGTGCCGCATCAGTCACCGATGTGGAAGCCGACCACGAGAACACCGACGGCGAGAAGAAGGCCGGCGGACTGAGTTGTGCCAACTGCAAAACTAGTACTACACCGCTGTGGCGCCGCGACGACGCAGGCAACAACATCTGTAATGCATGTGGTAAGCATCCGTTCTGTCCTTGCTTTCCACGTCGCTCGCGTGGATTTCCCTCGGGTGTCGTCGGCCCTGCCGTCGTGCGAGCTCGGGCTGTGATTGGTTCGGTCGCTTATCAGATATGCTCATATGCGAATCTGGCCCCCTTCATCTCCAACCTCGACGTTGCCGTGCTTCCTATCCGCTTCACCGCACCGTCGTCCTAGCGTTGCCCTCAAACCTGAACTTACCCAAAATTGCCTAGGGCTGTACTACAAGCTTCACGGCACACACCGGCCATACAGCATGAAGAAGGCCGTCATCAAACGTCGCAAACGTGTCCCTGCCGCATCGGGACCTGCAGGACGCATGTCCGATCAAGCAGCCGCTGAGGCGCTTGTTTCAGTCGGTCGTGGTATGCAATCCACGGAGGACGAGGACGCGGAAGGAGATGAACCGAAACGCAAGAAGCCAAAACGCAGTGGCGTCAGCAAGCGCAGGAAAGATGGCTCGGACGAAGGCGAATCTTTCGGCGCATCGCACATGCCATGGGACATACACGCACATGGGCAAGGACTTGACTTGCCCCCGCTTGCGCACCTCATGCCGCCTGGCCTTCCCTATATGGCAGGCCCGCCCGGGATGTTCCCGAAGACGATGTACCACGCTATGCACACGCCTGTCCCGCCTCCGGCTTCGAGCTACGTTCGCTCTGGCTCACGCGGTGGATCACCAGGCGCATCTGTGACGCTCCCTCCGCCGGGCGTCTTTTTACAAGGGCATGGCGGACGCAGCAGCCCCCTTCCCGTCCCTTCGGCCGAAGAGCTTCAGCATCATTACCGTGAGCTTGCGGCGCAGCGTGGAGGTCTCATTGAGATGCTTCAGCGCACCGACCGTCTGCTCGAGGGCGTTCGGCGCGGGATCGAAGCAGCTGGTGCCCAGGTACCGCAACCGCTGCCTCTTCAAGTGCCCGTCCAGCCCGTCGTGCTCCCGCGCCCTCTGGGTATGCCCGCGTCACCATCGGGTTCTTCGTCATCCGTACAGCCCGCTTCGTCGTCGTCGGCGCACGCTCCAGCGTCTCAACCAGCGTCAGCACCCACGCCGCAACCCGTCGTATCACCTATCCCTTCTCCGGCGCCAGGCTCAGCCGAGGCCATGCCATTACCCTCACGCGCAGCTGGCGCGACGGGTAAGAAGGAGATATGGCCCGTGAGCGACACTGGCGCCAGCGAGACGCGCTCTCCGCCGCCGATCGCACCCTCGCCGCCGATGGACACGTCCGCATAGGCACGAGTACATGCGTCATCGCGTCAACGCTCTCGCATCACGCGCACCACGCGCGTGTGGAATACATTCTGTGCTATAGCTGTTTAATAGCCTCCGCATTACCACGGACGATTTCGCGTGTACATATATTTGTCCATCTTGCTGTTCTTTCCGCTCGGATTCTCTTGTGCCTGTGTGTCTGCGAGTCTCGTTCTCATTATGCATCGTCCCGTGTCATCTTATCTCATATCTCATCCCCACACCCTGTCCTCATCCATCTACCCTACCCACTCACCGCATCCGTCCTTCTTGTGATATATTTGCCTTTATTGGATTCCCCCTCGTCCCGTATGACTCGACTCGTCTCCATCCTGTGTGTGCGTAACTTACTCCCACCTGCGGTGTTACCGTGTATTTGTTCCCTGGCCTGTTGTGCCTCGCCCTTTTTATATACCAAAAAGACCTGATACTGGGTTCGCCCTGTTCGAGTGTGTATAGACGAGCGAGATTCTTTGGTTATTAGTGTATGGCTATCAAGCACTTGCCCGTTGAACATTGTCTCCATCTTTGTGCACGATACCCTTGCCGACCGATATTTGTATATCCTTTAGACGGTATATCTATGCACAACAGATGTATGCAATGGATCCGGGGATGTACAAAGGTTCGAAGACTGGACCAGGACAATCTCATGAACCAGGTGACGACTACTGGATGACTGTATCGACAAGACCACATCAGCTGTCATTGTTGTCTCTCCCGAGATTCACTACGTGTGTAGGCTCTTGCCCGTTGAACGGGTCTCCATGCGCACCCGATGCAGAGCCGTACGTGATCTTATATTGACCCTCCGGCGTCGATGTAATGTAGACGTTGTGCTCAGGCGCCTGCGCGCCAAACCCGTACCAACGCATCCAACCCGTCAATGTCTCGAGGTCTGCGAGGGAAGCGTCGACGAATGTAGGCCTGTCGCTGTGGCTCTGTCTGCTCTTCAGGACTACGAAGTTCCCTCGCCAGTCGTGCTTGAGCTGGGGACCCACAAGAGCGCGCGCGCATCTGGATCCCGAATCTTTGGTAAGTGCCAGCGGCTACGTGCGCGTGCATAAGACCAGTCAAACGTACTGATTGGCCGGTGAACCGTCGTTGAGGAAGTTATCCCGTATCCAGACTTGAAGCCATTGGTCAACATAGGGGGCATCCGGTCCTCCCGCGTTCTTGCATATGAGGCGGTCGTGGGCACCGGCTCCCAAATAAGGTCTGAGAAGCGGCACTCCGTTTTCGTATAGCCCGGCTAGCATGCTAGGGCTTTCCTCGAATCTGTTCGCGGCGATGGTGACCAGGCGCGGGGTGCTCGAATCCGTTGGAAACAGTATGCCTTTGACAGTCGCGACGTTCTTACTACAGTAGAGTTTGTGTGCACTCCAGTCCTGCCGAGAAGTGAGTGAGTCGCGTATGCGCCTTGGTGCTGTTGACGTACAGCGCGTTGGTGTTGTGCAGAGCAGTAGCGTGTTTTCTTGCATTTGGAACATGTCGATGTTGCCTGCACGCCGCAATAAGCGCATCCAGTGCTGCTAGACATGACGCCTTGATAGCTCTTGTCGCGTGTCCGGATGGTTTGCTAATCCCAATCTGATGGAGGAGGGAGGATAGGAGACGAGCGAGAGTGGACGACACAGACAAGGTGTCTAGTTCGCGTGACGAGACGCGTTGACTGTGTGACTCTGCGCGGTGATGGTGACGAAAACGCGCGCTGACTTTGAACCTGGGCTGGAGCCACCATCTTCTTGACAAAGCTTCCTTCCGAGCTGTACTACCTATTCACGTCAGAATATTAACGTCAGAAAGGCATGTCGGAGGCGTCGTTAGCTTTTTTGGACGGGTACGCGGTTACTCCTGCTTCATTGTGGTGGTCGTCTTACGACGCCCAGCGCGCGCGGGGCTGCGCGGACCCGCTGGTCAGACGCCTTTCATGCCATGAACGCGACTATACCGTTCTGTGCGCCCACCTCCCCAGAGGCACGTCGCGTGCAGGAGATTCTGGACATTGAAGCTCGGGAGGCACGCCTTATTCTCGCCGCAGTGAACGAAAGACGAAACGATTTCGCGTTACCTTCGCTACTCCCGCCAGAAGTACTCGCCAACGTGTTCTCCTTTTTGATCAAGATGGAGCCCTTGAATCTGAAGCCTTTCTACTTTGATAGAATGGAAATAGGCTGGCTCAAAGCCTCCCACGTTTGTCGACGTTGGCGCAGCACTTGTCTTAATCAACCCTCTTTATGGACTCGACTCCGCCCAGATGACAGCCAACCGTGGGCTGTATTCTTGGAACGCGCCAAAGAAGCCTCCCTCTACATATCGGGCATAAAATACACAACGTCATGCTTTCCGCACATACTTGCTCATCAGCATCAAATACGGGAGCTCGTCCTACCCCACATCCGCATCGCTCACCTACATGAACTGGTCGACGGATTATCCGGACCTCTGCCGCGGCTCCAGGCTCTACAGTTGCACTGCTCCTTGGACACACGTGAAGGGCTTCCGTCCCTTCACCCCAGGTTTCTGTCCGAGATCGCTCCAAACCTTGAGGACCTCAGTCTTCACGGTGTTCATTTCCCGTGGGGAGAGGGCTCCCCGAAGATAACAAGATTCGACTACGGAGGGGACACCAGATTATCCTCGGCACAGCAGCCGAATGCGGTTACACCCTACTCGGAGGTGATACGGACCATACGCCAGATGCCGGCCTTGAGAGTCCTGCAACTTAGGGCAACCTTTCCGGCAAACGTATCCAATGATGCCCATCTGGAACCCATCGCCCTGAGTCAGCTACAAGTACTCAATGTCACAGACAAACATGACGGTTGCTGGCGTTTCTGGGCACAACTACGCATCCCATCATCTGCAACCGTCTCCATAAGCTGCAGCAAGATCAGTGCGGTCGATTCCCTGATCACAGCGAGTCTCAGCAGACACCTGAGAGCCGATACAGCGCGGCTGTTTATTTCTCTACACATCGCCTCTGCCTCTCACCTTCAGGGCGGCCTCAGTCTTCATCTTGCTTCTCAACCCACAAACGTCGTACCAGTTCCGGGGAGCCGCCACCCGTCCGTCTCTCTCCTTACTGGCTCCGAAAATGGCGCGAGCTTGGCAAGGCAATTATTGGAGACCATTTCCCTTGAAAACTTGCAAGAAGTCGCGCTGTGTACAGGCTCTATCGGGGGCGCACAGACTTTGTACAATCTATACTTGCCCGCTCGTTCGGTCACTAGACTGATCCTCGGCGCGGGCAACGCTAGTGCCGGACTTGAAGCCTTGCTTCTACCCGCCTACACCGTCGGCTCAGGAGTTGAGGGCCAAATATTGTTCCCCAATCTGGAGCACTTGCAACTTTCATCGGTGCACTTTGGCGAACAAAACCCCCGCGCTGATGGCAACAGCCACCCTCTTCACTCGACAGTGAATACCGTTTTAGCAGAGCGATCTGTCCTCACCGGCAGACCTCTGCCGATCTTGCAGATCTCGGGTTGTGACGTCCGGAAGAATTGGGTGAAGTCATGGGAGTTCTTGGTAGATGAGGTCATCTGGGATTGTCAGGAGGGCGAGTTTGAAGAGAGCGATTTCGATCTCGCTCTTGACTTTGGTGGCGATGAAGGGATGCAGTATATCAATACCGCAGGGGTTCATATAGTCTGAATGTGTTCTAATCATGTAATCGTCTTCAAATTTATCACTAAATCACGCGACAATCCCATCCCGATACCATATAATTATGTGCACCAATATATTCCGAAAGTGACACTAGCAGTAGTCTTGAGCTTACACAAAAGACAATATACCAATGAGTCGAGTATCGATGACCATCGTTTCGGCAAGTGGGTCTGCCTTGAACATGGACGCGCTCATACGGAGAGATCGCAAGGGCGCTCCCAATGCTTCACGGGCCTCCACAAGCTCGCAGATAATCTCTTGCAGTTTCGCGGGCTGGGAGTAATCGGAAGCGGTGTATTCGGGTAGCATTACACCAAAGGACTCGGAGGTGTAGCGTATGTCCTTCAACGCCGGAAGAAGCATTGGATCGGTGAGGAGCATGGCCTTCGACGGAATTCGGCGCTGCAGTGCCAGCATCGGCGCCGTGAGGCTGGTGTATCGTGTCTCTTGTTCAAGACGTATATGGAGATGATCCACTCGCTGTAAGCTTCGGAATGAGCGAGTAAAAGTAGATGGCCTCCATAGATCCCCGCCGACACGGAGAGATGTGATTGATGTCATCGACGGCTGACAGAGGTTGTGGACAAAGGTCGCGAATGAGACATCGCCTTCAGACTCCCAGCGAAGCTTCAGTGATAGCGGCGCCTGATGCTCTGTCTCTGCACCGTGTCCGTTGCCGGAAGAAACATAGATTTCAAGCTCTTTCTCGGTCGGGATCCTGCTGAACCATGGGTGTTCGGGAGGTAGGAATCGAGCTTGAACCGCCAGCTTGTCGTACACGTCGAATGCTATAGGCGTTGGGTGGCTCGTAAGGATGGCTATGAGCGGCGCAAAGTAATCGGCCCGGAACTCGGTGCAATGCATCTCCAGTCGCGTTCCATTTTGGAGACGAAGGTGGACATATGCAGAGACGATGTCCACAGCTCGACCGCGAAACCGCAGATCCACGAGGCTCGGAAGAGCTAAGGCATCGGGAGGTGGTAAAGTCGTGTCGATGTAGTGCCATTGACAGTATAGGAATAACTGTGTGAGGTTGTGCATGCCGCGGATAGCATCAAGGCAATCGAATAAGTCCAGGGAATGTTCTCTTTCGCCTTCGAGGCACAAAGATCGGAGGTTACGAAGACAGACAGAGCTCCAGGGTATGCTTGTGCAGCTCGCCAGACGGAAGCGGCGTAATAGAGGAGCATCGGCCGCAAAGAGCTCGCGCTCATGGACCTCTCCGTCGTCATGTCCGAGAAGGTGAAAACGTATAGAAGTGAGCGAGAGGTCCTCGAGGTACGGTGCGCGTTGCGCCAGAGATACATATATTGTCGGCGATGGGTAGTGCCCAATCTCCAAGATACGCGTACGATGTATGACGCGCGGGAGAACATCGTCGAGTAGGGGCTTGGAGCGCTCGCTCTCGGCGAGTTCGTGAAAGTCTCGGACAGATACGCTGGCGTCCTTGCTCCGTTCGATGAAGCATTTGAGCCACGAAGGCCCCAGAGTGCCGTTCAAGTCGGTCCACATTGCTGAGCAGTTGATTGCGATCTCTCTCCATGCCCTGCACGCCCACGAACGTTAGACAATCCACGATGGATCTGGATGGGTACAGATAAGACACTAACCTGCAGACGAATGTAACGTTGAGCCATCCATTGCGAGCAGCGCCTTCTCGACGAATAGGTACCAGGATTGGAATCCCGTGTTTATTCGCCTTTCTCACGTATGTGTAGAACTCGGGGGAGTGCGTGGCAGCGAGGAAGAGGAACACGCTGGTTGTGAGCTCCGGAGGAAGTGACGCTACAGTCGCCATGCCTGAGCCTACAGTGTTGTGCTGAATGTCTGATCGTTGATTGAAAGCAGCTTCAACTCACGCGACGCGTATGGCCACGGGAAACCTTGGGGACCCCGATAACAGTCACCGGGTGGCAGATGATGGTGGGAGAAGAAAACGCTCTCTGCTCCTCGCCACGACTTGCTCTTGCCTCCCATTATCTCCGCCAGGGCGTCTTTGCGCACTGTGTCTGGCTCGTCTTCGGGAAAATTAACAAGGCCGAGCATCTTGCGTCAGATATCCCTCTTGGTACCGCATCAAACGATATCGAACACCATGCATATCCTCTCGCTGCTTCCGGAGCTCACCGTCGTGATCTTCAGCCATCTGGTCCGTGTGGACCCTCCTCAAGCGTCACACACCGGAATGCGGCTGGGATGGATCAACGTGACGCATGTCTGTCGGAACTGGAGAGAGGTGGCTCTCGACTACCCGCTGTTATGGACGGAGCTATCAGGCGAACTCGGGCCTCGGTGGCTTGATGCCTTCTTCCAGCGTAGTCAGGAATGTCTCGTGACCCTCAACAAGTTCGATTACTACCATAACCGAGTGCGCCTTCTCGACAAATTATTACCGCCAACCCTGCATCGTATCCAAAACCTCACCATCGAGCAAACCCCATCTCGATATGTTCGCGCTTTGCTCACCTCGAGACCCGCGCCGGAGTTGCGGGAATTCCACTTCATATGCAGGCATGCTGAGACAGAACCCTTCATTGCCTATCTTGAAATGGACACGTCGACAAGCACCTTGCCTGAGCTCTTCGCGGGTGATGCACCTCGGTTGCAAAAACTCACTCTGCATCATGTTTGCTTTTTTCCTTGGAACTCCTCGGCTATTGCCGGGCTAACATCCTTGCGCCTGACCTACGTGAAATTATCAGCTTGGGAGACTAGGGAGATAATCTCATCTTTGCAGAGAATGTGGCGTCTGGAGGAGTTCTATCTCCACTGCTATGCCCACGCGGTTACAGGCCTCCCGCCTAGCATTACGAACGTCGTCGAGCTTGAGAAGCTCAAATGCTTGTCCATCGAAGCAGATCATACATTGTTCCACTATGTCTACCGTCATATCCGGCATCCACGCGCCACTCGTCTACTACTCACGAGTTCGATGCAAGATCAAACTCACAGTGGGGATCATGGAGTCGATGGTATTCTCGCTCTCTTGTTGAGCCACCCTTCACATCGTTCAATGGAGGACTACAAAACCATCGGACTCAACCCAGGCTCAGGCTCCAGAAGCTCCCTGCGTATACAGTGCTGGGAAGAAGAATTCCCTCTTACAACGCAGAACCTACCAGACCCGCCCTTCGTGCTCACTATGGCAGATCGATCGACAGCACCGGACGCGCCGTTTGGAGACGTTCGCAAACAGATCCTCTCCGCCCTCCGTTTTCCGAATGCGCGTACGCTGTACTTGCATGCTCGCAACGGCCTTCTCAATGTCGAACTGACGACGGCTACGGCGCACCTTCCAAGCGTCTCCATCCTATCAATCACGTGCGGGCGCGATGAAAATCCAGAGGACGCGCGGATGACGCTCTTGCCGCTAGGCCAAGTACCTACGCATACCAGGCCTCTTCTTCCAAACCTCCAGACGCTAGCATTCCCCCTCGAACATTACGGGCTCATGAGCGCTGTTGGTGACAAGTACGACATGAAGACCACCGGAAACAGCATGCTCGAAGATCTCCGCCGCTTCGTCGTCAATCGTCAAAGGCTTGGAGTCCCTCTACGCGCGCTATATCTGCACCCATCCACGCTTCGCGCCAGTCCGTCCAGCGACCCTTCATCCGTTCCTTCCGAGCTCGCGGACATCATGCCCATTCACGAGCGATCCCAGCGAGCTGGCGATGTAGGGCCCCAATCATCTCACAGGCACATAGACTATCGTCTTGTCATGCGCTGGATTGTTGAGCGCTGTGACATCCTGCCTCTGCGCGGAACCCGATAACTTCTTTCGGTCGATCTACCTTGCTTTCCTACTTCCCATTTCTTCCACTGTCTGTGTGGCAATGTCCCTAAACTTCATCATTATACACATCTGCACCATCCCCTTCTACATACGTATCCTTTACGCACAACTTCCTACCTCATATATGTAAACCTCATCTCCCAGTCTTCAAAGTTCTGCTAGTTATCCCGGACTTCTCAGTGCTAATGACGATACTACACCCATAGGGTGTCGGCAGTTGTGGTACCGTGATAAGGTTCAAAAAACGTCTTCGAAGTCATACCATCAGAATCAAGACGATTGAGACGACGTCGTACCCGACCTGGCTTCGCGCTCTTTCAGCAAATCGGCTCCCCACGCGCGCACCTCCGGATGCTTCAGATGCGGTACGCTACTATCAAAGAACGGCTGTAGATCTTTCCCGTGTGCTTTCTCATACTCTGACGCTGTATACATACATCAATATAAGCAAGTTCGTACCGACACAAGTTGATATGCTCACCTTGTGCAGCCATTTCAAAGAGGTCGAGATCTAAGAGAAATGTCAGGGGAAATCAACGGGGTGGGAAGTCTCCAGAAACGCACCCTTCACGAACTTGGCTTCAGGCGTCTCGCGTTCTTCGTACTCCTATGCAGTCACGAGTCAATTATTCAACTAGTAGCATCATACGCACGTAGACGTACTTGCCAGAGCGCCATTATCCTCTGCGCAGCGGGACTGTCGTGCAACATCTCGTGCACGAAGTTATGCATCGCTTCCTGTCATCGAAGAAGATACGTTGAAGTAGTTTGAGAGCGCATATATAGATCAACGTACAGCCTCCAAGCGCCGCTTCTCCTCCTTGGGAGTCCCCTCTCGTGGAGCGATATCGCCCACCTGTGCCTCTGCCAGGTCGTGTACGACAGCGAGCATTACGCATCTGCAGCCGGTTTCACTCAGTATCGTGACAGAAGAGCGCCAACAAGAGCCTCTCACCTACTTTGCGACATCAAGCTTGGTGTCGGACGTACACATAGCTAGGACAGCCATACGATACATATGATCAGAGATGCTACGGAGCGCCGTCAGCATGGCACACGCTCGTCGAGAAAGTCCAACAGATACCTCTCGGCATTGGGGATCTACCATAAGGCAAAGTTGCAGTTAGCGCCCGAGTATAGTGTGATTGCGTGCATGTAAACATACGCCGTTATCGACCCATCCAGTACGCTTCTGCGTCTACTTGAAAGCCCATCAGATCCAACATTTGGTTTCAGCTATGCGCGCGATCGTACCTTCAGTCTCTCGAGTATGTGGAAGAACGCGAGTCTGTCTTCGGACTCTTTCCCGGAAGACTTGTATAGCGGGGGGAAGGTTCTCGGTGCCGCAGACATCGTGGTGGTCAGAAGTAGAGTTATCACTCGAGACGCGACGTTCTCCCGCGCTGACGTCACGCGTCGAACTTCGCCCGCCGCCCTATCGCGTCCGCTTCCAAGAGCATGCCAGGAGAGCGAGAGCCCAGTGGTAGGGTGATTACGTTATGTACGACAGATGATCCCGTGAGGTAAGATAGGGTATATACAATAAAATAACACAACAAAGCCAGAACGAAGCTCGAAAGGTCTAGTATGAACAGAATGCTACTTGTTGCCCGAACCACCCGCCGCCGTTCTTCTCCTCTTGTTACCCCTCGTGATATCGCTTAAGTCGGCTTCAATCTCGCTCTCCTTGCACCCGGTAAGACTCAATACGCTCTTGCCGAGCATACCGAATGCGGGCTGAGGCGCGCCGCCCGCGCCCTTCGCCCGTCGTCTGTTCTGTCCCTGAGCGCCTCCTTGACCGCTTTGATGTCCACTTTGCGGTAATGTGACAGCTGTCAATGGCAGAGGGAAAGCCGATGGAAGCTCGTCTATCGCCAGACTGTGAGGGTTTGACGGTGCACCCGTCGCAGCGCCCATCGCGGGCTGAGGCATATCCTGCGGCGGCGGACTGGCCAGTTTCCCACGTAACTTCCTCGTCGCTCCAGGTCGCGTTTGAGCGTCTAACGCGCCACCCGCCGCCGAGTCTCCGAGCGCATCACCGTCGCGCTCTTCGCGTGCTCTCCGGCGCTTCTCCTCGATGCCTTCCAACATCCTCTCCCTCACACGCTCGCGGCCGCGCTTATATTCGTCTTCGACACGTGCGCGTTCCATGTCGAACATCTGCTGCGCGGCTTCGAGTGCGGCGTGCTCTTCGAGTTCGTGTTGGACGAGGAGAGCAGAGCGCTGGAGGGAAAGAGGGTAGACGCGTAGCAGGAAGGCCGGGGAGGTTTCGGGCCGGGAGGATAGTTGGAGAGATGTGTTGTGTAGGCCTTGGATCCCATCGACATACGTTCGCGATCTAAAGTGGGAGATATCTATCAGCGCCAGCGGAGGAGGATCACGGGGTTGTGGAAGACTCACTCGCCGCGGCGGTCGTTCATCTCCTTGTCCATCTTCGTCGCAAAGTCCCTTCGCCTCTTCTCTCGCCTCTGCTCTTCGGCGCTTGCTCCTACACCATCATAAGTACATAGCATGCAAATATACAGCTAAGAGCACGTACCATGAGAGCGACTAGGCCCTGCGCCCATGCTGCTTCCACCGTGCAGATAATAATCATCGCCATTGCGGGTACGCGAGGAGTGTGGTACGGCAAACATTCCGGGCGTAGGTGGCATCTGCTGGGTACGGTTCGGGGGAGGATGAGGAGAGAAGGCAGAGAGTGAGCGGGCGAGCAGATGGTGGTCTGTGAGACCTGTCACGAGCGCGTGACCCTGCTTCCGCCGGCGGCTGTTCATCTCGCCACCGTCCACGATGTGATCTCCGTTGTACACCTACAGCAGGGCGACATGCCTGGAATGATCACGCACGTCTATTACATCCCGAGAGCACGTACGCGGGGATGCGTGTTTCTCTGTACATCGCGTTGTGCCCGGCGGCAGTTCGAGTTTGCCGATGATCCAGCGGCTCAACGCAAATATCCCGATAGTCGGAACGTGTCCTCCTCATCCTGGCCATGATGTCTTTGCGTCTAGCAGTGCCTACTGGACGTGGAGACTTCCCTCAGTGTGTACTTCTCTTCCAGCTGCTGGCGGAAAGAACATCTTCATCTCCGACTTGAGCACATCCAACAAACGGACATCTCAACATCACTCCGATCAAGCGCCCCTGACCGTCAAAATTACCACGTTCCGTCTCCTCCGCTCCGAGACTGGTTTCTTCTTGCCAATATGCCATCGCCGAGCGCATTCGACCACAGCATCCCAGTGCTGAAGGCCGATATGACCAGTACAGCCCCTCGATTTGACGCAGTGAGAGCATCTGTTCCACGGGGGAAACGACCGGTGCTGCACGTCGGTCTATGAACGATCATCTTTGTTGGGCATCAAAACGTCTGGTGCGGCTGTAGATGTCGGGTCAGAGGCGGGGCTCTTGGCTTGGCTGCCTCGTTTACCTCGACTCTCCTTCAGCTGGTCTATGTTTGATATGAGTTCGTCGTACTGCGAATGCTTGATGAAGAGTTTGTAAGTATCAGTACAAGCCCTCGGCCTGTTTTCCAGCATCCAGCCCGCGCGCCAAGTTCGACGTACAGATGATCTCGCCGCCTAACTACAACAGCACCGCCTCGCGCCCATCCCATCACCCGCCCGCAGCCTGCCCATCATCCCCATCCAGTCTTCTCCTATATAAACGCCCTGCCTGGCGTTCGCCGTTCCTTTAGCCCGGTCTGCTCCTAGGTCCTCCCATCGGTACTGGATACCAGCGTTAGCTAGTCTACGCATTTTTCTTTCGCTTTTTCTTCTTCATCCTACTCTTCTTACTTTCTCAACCAACTCTTCTTTGGATTCGGATTTGCTTTGATAACCGGATTTCACGACCCTCCCTTCACGATTCACGTATTCAAGACAACTAATCAGAACACCAGCAAGATGCAGTTCCTCGCACTCCTCTCTCTCGTTGCCGCCGCTGTGCAGCTCGCCCCCGCACACGCAGCGCCTTTGTCGTGCGTTTCTTCTCATCACTCCTGCTGATCAATCAAACTGACCAATCACCCTTGCAGTCGTCGCACCGAGACTATCAACATCAAGCGCCAGTCCACCGAGGCTGAGGCAGAGTCTTCGGACCCCAACTTCTCCCAAGAGCTCTCGGACGGTATCCAAGCCGGTCAGCTCGCCGCGCAGTACGGCCAACCTGCCGTAGTCATCATTGAACAGCCTGCTTCGTCCTCCACCGAGTCCGGTGAGGGCGAAGCTGAGGGCGAGGGCGAGACTGAGGGCGCCGAGCCTGCAGAAGGCGAGGAGCCCGCCACCGAGGGTGAGGGTGAAGGCTCTACGGAGTCTGAGCCCGCTGGCGAGACTGAGCCTGCAGCCGAGGGCGAAGGGGAAGGCGCTGAACCCGAGGGTGCTGAGCCCGAGGCAGAAGGCGAAGGCGAAGGCTCCACTCTAGCCTCGCTCGCCGCACAACAAGCCTCCGCTCAGGCTCTCGCCAACTCCAACGCAGCACTGGCCAACTCCCAACTCGCAGCCGCCAACTCTCAGCTCGCTGCCGCCGAGTCATTTTACGGCGTAAACGTCGCAGCTGCCAATGCCAACGCCTACTCCAACGCCGTCGCCGCCAACGCTTACTCCAACGCCGTGGCAGCCGAGTCCTTCGGCGTCCCAACAGTCCCCATCTCAGCGTCCTACGTCCTCCCCTTCCTCAAGTCCAAGAAGCGCCAAATCGAGTACTTCGCGCCCGCCACGCCTCTCTCCGTCCCCGCGCCCGCCTACTCTCTCGGCGACGAGGAAGTCGCGCCTCTGTTCCGCTCTGCCAAGTTCGCTCCCGTACAAGCGAACGTGCGGATCACGGACGCGTTGAACGCCGGCATCTCGCAGGGTCTTGCGAGAGCTGCTACGCGTTCGTCGGGGAGCGGCGAGGAGAAGAGGGCGTACGGGTATGCGCCGGTTGTTGGTCCGTACGGGAACACGATCGTGAAGACTGCCGCGCGCCCCGCGTACGGTGCTGCGGCTGCGTACGGCGCACCCGTCAAGGTCGTCCAGCCCGCTGCTGAGGAGGAAGCCGTTGAGGGCGAAGCCACCGAGGCCGAGGCTGGCGAGGAGGAGGTCGAGGCCGGCGCTGAGGAGGAGGTTGCCGAAGGCGCTGAGGGCGCTGAGGAGGAGGAAGCCGGTGCCGAGGAGGAGGCCGAGGGTGCCGAGACCGAAGCTGAGGGTGAGGGCGAGACCGAGGAGGCCGTCGAGACCGAAGGCGCCGCCGAGACCGAGGAGGCCGCCGCTGGCGAAGAAACCGAAGCCGCTGCTGAGGAAACTGAGGCTGCGGTCGAGGAGAAGCGCTCCGTCGCACCTCATCTCGGTTTTGCTGCCAACAAGCTCGCCGCGACCACTCCCGCCGTCGCTGCGTCTGCACCTGCATACGTCGCCCCGGCCGTCGCCAAGCCTGTTGCTCCCGTCGCCGCCGCTTCTCCAGTTGCGCCCGCCTACGTCGCGTCGGTCCCCGCCGCCGCACCCATTGCGCCCGTCGCCGCTGCTCCCGTTGCACCTGCTTACGTTGCTTCCAACTCGTTCTACAATGCACCCGTTGTTGCCGCTGCTGCTCCCGTCTCTCAGGCCGCTGCCGTGAACGCCGGCTACGTTAACGCCGTCTCCGCCGCTAACGCCTTCAACGCTGCTGCAGCATACGGCAGCCCCGTCGTTCGCAAGGCTCGTGCTCTTAAGGCCATGGAGCGCCGCTCGCCTGTCTACGGCGCGACCTCCTACGGCGCTGTTCCCGCCACCTACGGTGCTTCTCCCGCTGCTGCCGCCGCCGCTGCATACGGCGCTGCACCTCAGCTCGTTCAGGTCCCTGCTCCCCTCGGCGAGTACATTGCCTCTCCCTACAACGTCGTCGGTCTTCCGACTCCCGCTGCCGCTGTGACTGAGGGTGCTGCCGCATCTGAGGAAGCTACCGGTGCCGAGGAGGAAGTCGCCGCCGAGGGTGAGGGCGCCGAGGGTGCCGCTGAGGAGTCTGAGGGTGCGGAGAACGTCGCGGAGGGCGAGGCTCTCGAAAGCGCGGGTGCCGCCGAGGAGACCGAGGGTGCTGCCGAGACCGAGGAGAGCGCTGTCGAGGGCGAGGCCGGTGCCGAGAATGCCGAGGCCGCCTCCGAGGAGGAGGCTCTCGCTACCCTCGAGCGCCGCATGACCGCCTACCGCGAGATCGCCCGCGCCGCCGGCTCGCTCGGCAACACTCTCGACGCGATGGTCAAGCGTCTCCAGGACGTGTCTGCGCTCCCCGTGGGCCGCGCGTTCGACATGACCGCGTAGAGGATGTGCTTGTCAATGAGGAACTTGCTATGACTGCTGGTTGTTTATTCTTTGTTTATGAATGCTTTCTCGGATTTTTTGTGGATTTTTCGGGCAGACCGGTTCTCGCGCATCTTCTGTAGTACAATATGGTACTAGAAATGCGATGTTCATGACTATATAGTGACTGCTCTCGAAGCAGGACACAATAAGGCGAGATACACATGATTCGAGCGTATATGATCTAAGTGTCTGCGTGGGCTGCACCAACATGGGTATCCACAGCTATACCAAAAGAAAATTGAGTGCCAAGTCAGCGATGAATCAAAATGTGGTACGCACGAGGTTGTACCGGATGCGCTTTGGCTTCCTTATCGCGAAGTTCCTCCCATGTCCCCAGCCCAAATACCGCCGGCATCTCCATCCACGCTCGTTCGTTCCCAACTTTCTCTGCCGTCCTCCATACATGCCGACACTGGTCGCAAAGTTGGTTGGCTTCGGGTGTAACATCGGCTGCCAGAGGTACATTTTTCTGAAACATGAGGGCCGGGTCCGTGATATCGACACCAGCGACGTTGTTGTCCAGAAACATGTAATTCACGAAGATACGGGCGAGTTTGTGACCGCAGTGGAGAGCAGCCGGTTGTTGAACGACGTCACGGACGAAACCATGCACGGTCTGAAGTCTCAAGCGCTGTAGCTTGAACTTTCCCAAGGAGATGGCAGCCATTGTACGCGCCGATGGGTAGTCTGGCGCAATCTCGTGCAAAGTACCAGGAGGAATCTGAAACATTGCTGAGCTGGCGTAGACTGCTGGCAAGAGCGTCCAGCATTCGTGTCTCGTGAATACATCCACGCATCTCAAGCATTGGGCGATTCCCCTGAGGTGACGCCGCAATAGTGTCTCGATCGCCTCATGGTATTTCGACAGCGTGTCGGGAAACTCGGCACGGAGGGCGCTCAGACAATCGTCACGAGCCCTCCTGACATCGTACTTGATGGACGGCTCGAGCATATCCAAAAGGGTGTCCATGTATCGCGCATCGCTCATGTCCGGCAATCTGTACGGCTCCAGTTATCATCTGTATGTTGATTATCACGTTGGATAAGATCTCACTGGTGTAAGTATATATATTTCAGAAGCCGATACAGCTTCTCTGGGTCATCGTGCATATGTACGACAGGTAATGTGTTCTCAGGGCCAGAATCCGAAGGCTGGGCGAGAGCAAACATGTCCCGAAAGACCTCTGAGTGAACGGCGAGTACACCACGATGTACGCGAAAGGCAATCGAGCTAGGAAGACAGTGCAACAAGATAGTTGCGTCTTCGAAGCACATGTCCTTATATTTCTCGGGCGTATAAGGTGGCGGTACAGCGTCCTCGGGTTCGTCGACACGTCTCCTCTTGGCAGCGCCTGCAGTTTGGGGGGCGTTGGACGACGTAGACTCCATGATGGATATGACAGCTGCAGCCGTACAAACGCCACCAGTCTGACTTCGCCGTTGTGGACAGCGCAGGGACTGAGACTGTAGATACGAGAGGAATACGACGGATGACTCGCTGACTCGTCGCGGTCAGAGGCAAGTCAGCAGAGCTGGCGCGTCTAACTTATACAAGCACGTGTGCTGATTTATCTCACGTCAATGCGGATTTGACCACCTCGTGCAAGATACGGAATAGACGCTGAGGGTCACATTCTAGCGTATGGTCAGATTCATGGGATAAGCAGCATAGAAAGAAGCTAATAGCAACAGCGGTAGGAGCAACAAGAAAGACAGCAGGGCATGATGAGTCTAAGCAATGATGAGTGGACATAGTACAATTGAGGGTGGCATTCCTTTCTAAACGAACGAACAAACAACAGCGACAACAGTCTAAGAGTACGACGGTGGGGCTAAGAGACTGTGTTAATGTTGGTAAGAGGTCAGACAAGAAGGATCAAGCGTACCAGGGGAACGGTTGACGTTTTGCAGGGCAGCGAGGACGAGCGCCTTCTCCTCTGCCGAGAAGTTATCGACGAGACGGACGACGTTGTCGAGCACGGCCTTGCGGTCGTCCTGCTTGATCTCGAGCAGACGACGGGAGAGGTGGTCGCTGCGGAGCTGGGCGAGGGTCGCCTTCAGATCGAGCGCCTCAAGCGCCTCGGCGACGGCACGGTCGTCAGCCTTGCCTTCAAGGTGGGCCAACGAGAATAGCAACTCCTTCCGCTGATCATTTGACATCTCGGGACTTGCGTCACCAATCTGCTCGATGGCAGAGGTCTGCGCAAGACGCGCGCGCGTTGCCCAATAGAACTGGCGGCGGGCGTTCTTCCACGTCGCGGGTCGTGCGCAACCCTTCGCCTCCATACGACCGGCGCGGCTAAAGAACGATATGAGATGGGTACATTCAAACTCGACATCAGGAATACACGTACTCGTGGAGGTCAGCGTAGAGGAGAGCGATCTGCCTGTACGTCGGGGCCAAGTGCTGCTCACGCTGCTCAAGCTGGTCGGCCGCGATAGCACGCTCTTCGGGCGTCTTGGCGGCGTCCTTGGAGTCTTTCTTGAGCTGAGCATACGGCTCATCGAGGCGGTCCATAAGTGCAATCATCTTGTCGCGACGCATCTTGATCTCGACGATACCCTCAGGCTCGAGCACACCACCACGCGCGTCAACATCCGCGTACATCTCCATGCGACCCTCGGCGTTGATGGACGGGTCGAGCACGACCCAGGCACCACCACGAAGCTCGCCGTTCGGGACGATGTAGACGAAGACGGGCTTCTTGTACGATGAGAGACCATCGACGATCTTCGCACCATACTTGAGGACCTCGTCGTACATGTCCTGCTGGCCACCGGAGAAGCCACGCCAGTTAGCGAAGATGATCAGCGGGAGCTCCTCGCGGCTGAAGTCGAAGATCGCCTGCGCGGTCTTGAAGGACGAGTTCGGGTACCAGACCTGGCCGGCCTCCATGATGCGCTGCTCGAAGGACGCCGGGTTCGCCGGGTCTGCGGGAACGATGCGCTCGATCGTGCGCGTCTCGACGGCAATGACACCCATAGGAATACCACCGAGGCGTGCACGGCCGACGACAACAGTCTGCGCCCAGCCGGAGAGCGTCTCCTGGAACGAGCCCTTGTCAAAGAAACCGGGCAGGAACTCGCTGGTCGTCTCGTCCGTCTTGCCCTCGATGAACCAGCGCGGGTCGTAAGGACCCTTTGGCGGCGTGTACGAGATGTCGCGGTCCCAAGTGTCCGCCGTGGGGCGAATGGGCAGCGCGCCGTTGCGCTTCTCCGGGATGTACGAGAGCCACTCAAGGATATGCGTCGTGCCCTCAAGGTCAGAGTTCGCCGTGAGATGCGAAACACCATTCTTGTGCATGATCTGTGTGCCACCGAGCTGGAGGTTGGACGTGTAGACCTCACGACCGAGGACCTTGTTGAGCGCCTGCGCACCCGTGAGGATGATGGGCTGGCCTTCGACCTGAACGGCACGCTCGCCGAGACGGACGAGGTACGCGCCGATACCGACGGAACGGGCGGTAACGAGCGTGATGGTGAAGATGTCATCGTAGGCGCGCGACGTTTCGCCGGCAATGAGACCAGAACCGCGAAGCGATTCGACACCAAGACCGTCCTGGAGACCGATGATGTCGGTGATCTTGTGGCGACGTTCGCCACCCTCTTCGACCTCAACAGTGCGGACAGCGCCTGGCGCCTTCTCCTCCAACTTGAGCCAGTTCTCGTGAGTGAGGTAGAGGTACTGGAAGCCCTTCTCCGGGTTCGCAGCGTCGTTCCATGCAGCGGAGAAGAGGCTCATAGCCTCCTCAGCGAGGCCAATGCGAGCACCCGAGTTGGCTGAGAGGTAAATGCGCGGCAGGCCCAGCTCGCGCGCGTACTGCGATACCAGGTAGAAGAACTGGTCCTCAACGGGGCCGAAAGAGCCGATCTTGTACGTGATGTCATTGGAGATGACCACAGCGCGACGACCCTGAGGGAACTCCGGCGTGTACATCGTGAACACCCACGCGACCATGCCGAACGTATTGTTGCCCGGTGCGCGCTCGACCTCAACAAGCTTGTCGTGCTCGTCGAGTACAAGCTCCTTGGCGTCAAGTAGCTTCTTCGGGGCCTTGAGGTTGGCATCGGTCGCACGCGCTTTGATCCACACATTCTGGAGCGCCTTCGAGAAGAGGTCTGGGAAGTCGTAGACGTAGGTCGTGCCGATGAGGTGGGCCTGGTAACGCTTGGGCTGCAGCGACTCCTTCGTCGGGTATGGCTGGTTGACGGGCTGGAGATGAAGCGGGCCCTTCTCGCCGATGGACTTGAGGATGGTGGTACCTTTGTCGGTGACAATTTCCTGGTAGCCGTGGAAGTTAACGATGAAGCCAGAGACGTTCTCGATGATGCAACGAAGGGGAGTGACGTTGCCCTCGCTGTCCTCAAGGGAGATGCGAATCTCGGAGCTTGTGACGTGGAGGCGCCAGAGACGCTTGCCATGACGCTCGATGAACCCGGAGATAGCCTCAAGAACATCGTCGTACGTGACCGGGAGGTTGTAGACAAAGTTCATGAAGATGTGGTTGCAGTCCGAGTTGCGGTAGCGCGCCGATACGACTTCAAGAGCGTCGAGGATGCTCGTTACGCGACGATCTGTCTCAGAGACGAGGTACTCGGCAGTGTTCATATTATCGCGCAGGCGGCCAGGGCGAATGAGCGCACGAACGAAGAAGCGGTGGTCGAGCTGGTTCTCGCGTGCGACACCATGGTAGACGTGGATCTGCTTGTTCTCGACGAAGACCGGCTCGAGGTTGTAGTTCGAGAGGCGGGACAGCTCGAGCTGGAACGCGGTAGCAGGCTCGATGTTACGGATGGCCTCCTCCTCGCGCCACTCGCCGTTGAAGTCGCGAAGCGTGTAGTACTCAGGGTACTGACCACGGCGGCAGATCATGACCGATACACGACGAACACCGCGCGCTTTGATCTGAGCCTTGCGCTCGTTGACGAATGCGGCGATCTTCTCAGACCACTCTTTCGCCGACATGTCGTCCTCCTCCTCGAACACGCGCAAAGCGATGTTGAGCACGTTGGGTGGCTGGTTGTCGCCATGGCGCTGGCGGTACTCGCCGGCGTCGAACGGAGGTAGAGTTTGGATAACCTCATCGAACCCAGTCGCGAGCGCTTCAAGGTTCTTAAAAGACGAGATCGCGCCACAGCGGACAGGCTCCGACTGATTGCGGCTGATCATGTACGACAAGTCACTGACTGAGCCTTGGCGGCGCTGCTCGCTATAACAAACTGGTCAACGCATGGCCCATAAACTCAATGGTGAGAGCACAAACCCGAAACGGTCCATACGCGGCGTCTGAGGCGGTGAGTGCGACTTCCCGATCGTGAACCGCCAGGTCAGAATCGTCGGATCAACGCCGTCGTCGCCACCGTCGCCCTCCTCATAATCGATGGAGAGAAGGGAGTACATGCGGTAGCCACGGCGGACGTACACCTCGAAAGCGGCTGAAAAACCGTTAGCAAGAACTGCGAAGCACATCGAGTTAGGACTTACCAAGAGCAAGCCAAGGGTCATCATTGGCAAAGAACGAAGGCAAAACATCATATACGGTGTACCGCGAATCGCTCAGCTCCTTCAAAACCTCAGGCGAGGGCGTCCTAGCACACATGATCAGGGAAAGCTCGCGAGATATGAAGATGCATTGCTTACTTGTGCGAGCCGTAGCCACCATGCTCGCCGTACGAAGTCGTGCCCAGCGACGCCTTGAGAACCGCCTCCATCTGGATCAAACGTTCCTCGTACGAGGGCATCTGGCCGGCGATGAGAACCTCGCGCGCCTTGAGCGAGACCTGGGTGGAAGAACGGCCCTCGAGACTGGCGAGCGCTTGAAGCGTGTCGTGGAGGTGCTGGTCCGTTGCCACAGGCATGTTGCTGCTCTTGACGTAATCAAGGATTGTAAGCACGAGCTTCGCCTTGCTCGGCGCCTTGATGTGGCTGAGAACGAGCGATGCGACGTTGTCGAGCGCATCCTTATGCTGCTCGCGAAGAGCAAGAACGCGGGCTTCAATGCTACCACCGAAGAGCTTCTCGGTGTCGGCGTACCGCGCGAGGAGGCTGGTGATGACGAGGACCTCGTGAGACTTGAGGCCGCCGGCGTAACGCTCGACAACGTCAATGATCGGCGTCAACTGGGCGCGAAGGATTGTGCGATCCTGGGCGCGGATGTCGGCAAGGTAATGGTCGAGTTGCTTCTTGATGCGCGTCGCGGGGAACTCGCCAGGGCTGCCCTTGCCCTTGCCACGGGCAGCGTCTAGTAGGCCTCGGATGCTGTCCTCAAGCTTGCTCGGGATACGACCGGACAAGGTTGCGAGGATGGCGGCGGTCTCGGTGTAGGGCAGCTCCGGATCATGCAGGACTTCGATGAGGCTCTTGAACGTCGCGTTGATGATCGCAGAGTTATCGAAGCCCTCAAGGTGGTTGTTGAGGATGTCAACATACAGTGCGAGCTTCTGGTGGGGCTTGTTGCCGATAACACCTGGAGGACCGGTGGCGGGCAGGAGACCGTCGAACGGCTTCGCGTGCTTGACGCGGGACGGGTCGTCGAGCGTGAGAATGCCGAGGATATCTCCGGGCTCCAGAGAAACACCAGGTTGCTTGACGAACTGGACGATACCATCCTCAGCCGCCGTGAGAGGCATGTACATCTTCATGACCTGGATGTATGATAAGTTTGATGCACCTGAAAAACAAGAGGGAAGACGATCTTACTTCGATCTCAGCGTAGGCATCACCCGCGTTAACGTGGTCGCCTGAGTCGACGAGGAAGCGCACGAGCTTGCCGGGCGATGGGCTGCGAAGCTGAGTCGGATCGTTCTCCTGCTCAATGAGGCACGTCTTCGAGTCGATCATGACACGCAGAGCGCCGACCTCCTCGCGCCAGTAGACCGAGTGTGACTTGTCATCAAGAAGGACGAGCAAACCGCCGTCAGCGAGTGGCCGAGCGCCGACCATAGTGCGACCTCCGTTGAGATAAAGAGTCCAGGTCATGCGCGAAGAGCGAGTAGCAGTGAACGAGTAGCGAACGTTGTCGTAGATGAAGTCGACGCCAAAGACTGTGCGAAGGACATCACGCGAGGGGACCTGTCCCTTGTCGAGAATGCGCTTGTACTCGCCCCAGGACGCCTCAGACGCGAGGTGAGCTTTGGTAACCGCGCCACAGATGACGGCAAGTGTCGAGTCAGGACGCTCGGCCGTCAACTTGTTCGAAATGAGCGTGTCGAGCCAGCCAGTGGTGATGGTGTTCTCGTCGAAGGCTTGCGTCTCGAGCAGCTTGATGAGGTACTCAACGGTTGTGCGGAAGTCACCACGAATACTGAGCTCCTTGAGTGCGACGACCATGTTCTTGCGACTCTCGGAACGATCCTGGCCGTACGCAAAGATGTGGCCGAACTGAGAGTCCGCGTACTCGTGCAAACTACCCGTGCTATTGACGGAGAAGTATCCCCAAACGTTGGTGCTTGAGCGGAAGTTGAGCTCTTGGAGAGCGCCAGAGGACGGCTTGAATCCAGCATCCGGGTTCTCAGCAGTGATACGGACGGCGACGACATGACCTTTCGGCGTAGGCTTGCGCTGCAGCGAGTTGGTGTCTGGGTTGACGCGGTCGAAGTCGATTTCCGATGTGCCATGTGGGGGGACGCCGTAGAGCTGGCGGATGGTCTTGATGCGGTGAAGTGGAATGCCCATCGCGACTAAGAGCTGGGCCGCGGGAAGGTTTACTCCGGACACCATCTCAGTCGTGGGATGCTCGACCTGTAGACGCGGATTGAGTTCCAGGAAGAAGAAATTGTCCTCCGCATGGCTGTACAGGTCTGGACACAGTGAGATCAGCCACCAGGACTTGTACGACCGTGAGATTTCTACTTACACTCCACGGTACCCGCGCTCACGTAGCCGACGAGTTTGGCAAGACGGACAGCTGCACGCTCCATCTGCTCAAACGTATCAGGCTTCGCAATCGTGACCGGCGCCTCTTCGATGATCTTCTGGTGCCGGCGCTGGACCGAACAGTCGCGACCAAAGAGCGAGATGGCGTTACCATATTGGTCGGCGAGAAGCTGCACCTCGAGGTGACGTGCTTGGCCTGCGAGCTTCATGATGAAGATAGGCGACCCTGTGGGATTATCAATACGCGTGGCGCGAGAAGATCTGGAAACAAGCGAACCCGGTATCTCTCCTGCGACGGCGTGGTATGCGTTCTTGAATTGATCGGCAGAGTCTACCTTGCGGATACCCTTGCCTCCTCCACCCTCGCTCGCCTTGATCATGACTGGGAAACCGATCGTCTCTGCCTTTACGAGACCGTCCTCGACACTTGAGACACACGCGTCCATATACGCCTTGTCGGGGACAGTAACGAAGCCTTCCGGCGAGAGCGTCGTATCGGAGATACCCGTACCAGACCACGCCATGGTGGGTACCTCCGCATGCTGCGCGACGATTGTGGAAGAGATCTTGTCACCCAGACTGCGCATAGCGCTACCGGGTGGACCGATGAAGACAATCTTCTGCTTGCTATCACGAAGACTATCCGGTAAGCGCGGGTTCTCGGAAGCATGGCCCCAGCCTGCCCAGACGGCGTGTACGCCAGCTCGCTCAGCGACATCGACAATGAGATCCACGTTAGCGTAGTTGTTGTTATTGGTGCCGCCCGGAACTTCGATGTATCGGTCGGCCATGCGGATGTACTCAGCATTGATGCGCAAGTCCTCCGGTGTGGCCATGACCGTGAACTGGATCGCGCGCTCGTCGCCGAATGTCTCGTAGCTCCATTGCCGGACGGATCGAATTTCCTTCACAGCAGCAATACCTACTTAGAAGTGCTTAGGGATGGCTAAACCCAGCTTAGAATGAAGTACTGACCGTTGTTGGCGATGAGAACCTGTCAAGAAATGGAAGCTGTCAGTCACTTTGCTCCGAGGCGAGAAGTAGATCGCACGCGAAGATAAACGTTCAGGGAGACAAAATAGGCGCGCGGGTCGCCTACGAGGCAAAGATGTGATCTCCTCGCAAGCCGCAGTGATGATGCGGCGGGTACTCTCCCCGCGCGCAGGTCGCCACACGCGCGCGTCGCGTTTATCGGGATCTTAGTTTACCTTGGTGATGACCGTATGTCCCCCGTTTGCCTTGACAAAGTCGAGGACGCGCCCTGCTGGCGCAGTATCGATAGAGTTGCCACCTGTAGTAAATAAATAGTTGGGATGTGGCCCCGCAGCGTCTATGCCGATCGAGCTCACCAATGAATTGGGCAACCCGGGAGTGGTCGTAGGTGGACATGATGGGAGTCCGAGAGGGATGGGGAGAGGGTAACTGGGTCTGGCGTCTAGAAGTGGCCCAGCTTTTGAGATGGGAGCGCGAACCAAAAGCGGGTCCACGTCAAACCCGTCTTCGACATGGTGCCCCAACCCCAGGGTGCGAACATTTGGGACGGATCGCGCCGAGCGCGTGTCTCAGCCTCGCTCCTCAACCCACCCGCGCGCTCACGCCTTGTCAACTAGAACGTTCATGTCCTTCGAGAAGTGCGATTCGCTTCACGCTGAGCCATAGATATCGGCAATTGCGCGTGCATGAGCGTGGGCGCCAAGTTTTGCGAGAGGCGCGTTGTGCGATAGACGTCACGCGTCGAGACGCGTCTCCGCGTCGAATGAGAAGTGCGCGCTGATATACTCTGACCGGCAATCGTTGCGAGTCAAATCTGGGGACAATGGCTCAGGTGCGGTAGTGATAACCTACAGCTACGGTGGTAGACTACGCCCAACGTATGGAGTTGGGCTGCGGCACGTCTCATCATTGATGTGCACCCTGCAAATATACCGTACTTATGTACCGTACCGATGTCCACAGAGGACCCCGAGAGGCCACCCGCCGCGTTGTCTACCCGCGGCGGGAACTTGGAACGGTCGGAGTTTTCCCATCTCATGTTCCGCCTTGTATCATCGGAGTTCACTCGTGGATAGTTGGATTGGTCTAGGAAGTTTCACAGGAATTTGAATAATATAAGTATGGACGGTATGAGTACTGGATTTTGATGTGCAGTGCCTGAGTCTCCGCTACGAGGTCCTTTCCTCTCGACTGGCCTTGCGCTGTGCTGCGTACACGTCCGCCCAGATCCTCCAGTTCTTGCCTTTGCAACAACGAGGTAACATCAACCAGATTTCCCTGGCCAGCCGACGCTGACGATCAATGCATTCACTCTTGCACGAGTGGCAGAGGTTCGGATCATATTGACCGCTATTGTGCACGACATCTGTCGTGACGAGTATGTCGTGACTGACACAGCGGTAGCGTTCTATTGCTGACCTCTGCGTTAACTCGCCTACTCCGTCGCATTCTGATTCTGGATCAGGGAAGGTTCCGGTGCACCGCTCGATGGGTTCGAAGTAGTCATCTCCGGGCAGCGCGAGCAGGTGTACTACATTGGAGAAGGTGTCCCGAAAGAGAAGCACTATGCGGAGCACCTCAGGCAAGAGTCCCAGGTCGAGAAGTCGGGTGAGCGTGCACTTCTGCACCGTGTAGTATAATGCCATAGGCAGAATGATTGGCACATCATGCTCCAAGGATATCTCCACCGCCACCCAAGGATCGAACAGTTTAGAATCGGGGCGGAGGCTTGGCTGCATAAACTGTGCTCGATCGAGAGCCGGAATAGCTCTCGTAGATGGTTCATCGCGTCTTGCTGGATCTCATCCGCCATGTATTTGCGCGTCATGTTGAGTAAAGCCTTGAGCTTTGCTACCGTGTAGACAGAATGCATCGGCCCTTCTCTAAGAATCGCATCAGAGTCATGTTCTAGATACAAATGTGGCAACGCGCACCTGCGATAGTACATCGGTGTCAAAAGTAACCGTACATCCTCCGCCGCGTCGCTCAGGCGAACAACATCAATGCCCTCGTACACTTCTCCAGCAGATGGCGTGCCGCTCGCCAGCATATCCTTAAACATCCGACAGTTCAAGGAGAGCACGCCGGCGTGTACACAGAAGCCCGTACTTCCACATGCCAGTATGATATTTCCGTCAGAAAACCAGAGCTTGGCGTCGTGCTCGAAAGCGTTCAGATCGGGATGGGTCGGAGAAGACGTGCGAGCACGTTTGCGAGTGCGCTCGTTCGTATCGGGTACCACATCCATCTTCAGGGCCAGATAGAGATAAGGACGTCGCAGATGCGAAGGCACTGATAGAGCCCGCCGATGGTGGTGGTCCTCTGGAAGCACGTCGCCTCAACTTCAACGCGTCTGATTGCCGTTCTCACGCCACACGCTGTGTGTGGTCAACGTGCTCACAACTGAGGGCTACGGGACACGAAAGATATAGCGTGTTGTACATAGTAGTACAGGATGGCATTCATCAAAACAAAATGGGAGCATATTGTAATACAGCCATGCACCACCGGTGGTAGATTGTATAAGTACGAAGGGGCTCCAAGAAGGATATGTAAACGTTTCCAGACACCCGTTCAAATGGGGTGCTCGCCGGGGTCACGATTGATCAATAGCGGCGTGGGCCTTGGGAATATCCTGCCAGGACCACCAGCCTGAGGAGCAAAAGTCCGGAAGTCTGCCCCACATCAGGGCCTGCAGCGTCCTATGCTGGGAATTGAGATCCTTCCTGCATGCGCCGCAGAGGTGGTAGGGGCTGGGCTGAACGTCGGCATTATCGAAGAGGTCTCCATCCTCAAAAACGTCGAAGGAAAGGGTCCGGCAAGCTCGAGCTATACGCTGCATGATTGCGAACGTAGGGCCATTACATCCATCCACGTCAAGGCAATCTTCAGGTTCGAATCTATTTCCCTCGATGATGAGATTGGAGATGAATGTATCGACCTCAGTTCGGAATACATGGATACTGCGAACAACCTCGCGTGCGACCTTGGGCGTGTCGAGAACCTGCTCTAGTCCTCTTCGGCTCGCAAGATAGAGAGCACAGGGCAGGATGTTTAAGAGTTCAAAGCGCTCTGCGAGGTTGATAGCGTCATAATGATTGAAGCGTCGATCTGTCGGTATGGGAGCTTTGCGACGGTCGGAGTTATAATCGAACCAATCGGAAGGGTACAGTATACAGAGGTGTTCTGAGACCTCCGATTGTAGACCATCTGCCATGTACTTCTTCGAGAGCTGCATGAGCCTGTAGAGGTCGTTGATGGAGAGCCTTGTGCGCATGGGACCCTCCCTGTTGTCATACATGATTAGACAGAGACCCCATGCGTGGATCGAACATCGCACTCACGCGCGTGCGGAGGAACAAACGCATCCCAACTGCAGTATCAGAGAGACGTATTACGTCGGCTCCCTCGTACACTTCGCCGATGGATGGACGACCCGTGGAGAGCATGTCCCGGAACACCTGGCAGTGCACGGATAATACACCGGAATGCACACGAAAGCCGGTGCCTTTGCATACGATGACCACGTTTCCATCGGCAAACCAAATGTCAGAGTCGTGGCTTATTGCAGCAGACTCTCCTTCAGGCGGGTCTTCCAGG